TCGAGATCACATAAGCAAAAAATCACAAAAAAAAAACATTTAGAGATCAAGTAACGGGACAAAACTTTTCGACGGTTATAAACGAAAAATCACGATTTAACGGTTATTTTAACTCCGATTTTGATGATTTTTTACAGCTACAGTCCTTGACCATATATGAATACAAAGAATGAATTCGATCTTCAATTTAAAATATTTACACTAGTGGATGTGGATATCACAAAATCTTATGTTATATACTTAATAAAAGTATGAATCAACTATAATAATTATATATATTAATTTAACAATTTTCTACACCTAAAAACTATAGTAATTATATAATATAATTATACATATTAAATTAAATTTAAAAAATTGATGACCATTTGGATCGGCTGAGATTTAATCTTTTGAGAAAGACTTACAACCTTGAAAACAAAAACTCTTTTATTTTGCATATCCTTGCACATTTAATATTTGTAATAGATTAGTAGTGTATGTATTATTTTTTTATTAGGCTCTTATTTTCGAGTGTAGTTATAATACTTAAATGACAAATGTTTTAATGTTTTGAAGTAATATTTATGTGGCAATATGTGGTATGTGCAAATTTAAATTTTTTTTTTTCTTAACGGGTCATAACAGGTCGGGTCACTTTACCCGTTGGGTAAAGTGACACGACCTGTTAAGGACCTGTTAAGATAACAGATGTGACACGATATGATCCGTTAAGATAATATGTGTTACACGAAAACAACACGAACACGACAGACACGACCCGTTTGCCCGGCCTAGTTTTGCTAACCCACTCAACTTTGTTTTTCGCCCCTGCAGGACCTAGATAGCTATACTCTTTATGGCACTCGAGGAATCTCGGCAGTTCTGACATTTTCTTCTCTTTAGATGTACGAACTTATCACAGTTATGTAATAAGTGTACTTAGTTACTTTGACTACTCTTCTGTAGTTTCACTGTCTATTACGCTCTGAATAATTTTAGTAGGTTCTTTCCACGATTGTGTACTCTTTCACTATTTAGTATACCTATTTCTAAGTAGTTTTAATTTTATTCACTTTTTGCATCACTTACCTTTATGGTTACGTCACCTCACGATGATGGTCAGCATGCTTCGACCTTTCCAAGTGAGAGTGTGTAAAAAAAAAAAAAAAATCAATGTCAGCTTTGTCAATTTAATAGTCACCATATTAATGGATATGTCTTTGTCCAAAAAAAAAATATTGATGGATATGTATGTGTGACAAGCACAAAACGTAGCAAACCAACACTCCAAAACCGAAAGAGCTTCAATTTTACCACTCAGTACTACGATCTTGTGGTATTCCTCTTACTTGTAAGTGAGAGGTTTTAGGTTCGAATATCGTAAATGACGAATTCGATACCAAATTAGGTTGTTATTGTGTGGCTTAGCCGAATTTCCCCTCTCCTTAGTGCAAGAATATATCGTTGTACTAAAAAAAAAAAAAGCTTCCATCTCGGCAACTAAAAATTCAATCACTTTATATATAACTTGTAGCATGGAAGATTTTTTATTTATTTTGAAAGTAGCTCTTAGTCTAATTTCTCTTCTCAATGTTAAAGAAGTTTTAAGTTCAAATAATTCAACTTCGTTGATGAAAAAAAGGGAAGAAATTATAAAATGATCCAAAAACCAATTTCGAGATCATCATGCACAAAGAAAAATTTCACTCATACAAAACCAATTTCATATCTTGTTCACACTAAATACAACTTTAAACACACGACCCATCAATATTTATGATGCTATCAACCACAATAAATTATTGGTTGTCGAAGATTTTAATTCACCCCAAATGATTCAAATACCAAATAATGTTAAAAGAGATTCTCTCAAAAGTGTGACTTTTTATAGACTCTCTGTCACATCATTTTTTTTGGCACAATAGTGTATAATATTGGCATATTAATTGACATTAAACTGTGATGCGACAAAAAGTTCATAAAAAATCTCACTTTGAGAAAGTTTCTTTATAGCATTGCTCTTACATAGTACTCAATCCAATGAACAACCAATGAAAGAAAAACAAGAATGAGATAAGGCAAAATAAACAGAATCTTATTGATAGATGCCTTATATTTATGATGGATGCCTTATAGTTTGTGAATCCAACAAAATCTTTGGCTTCTTATGTGACAAAAGGAGTGGTGTCACGGAGGCTCCACAGTCCTCTATGGAATATATGGATGGTGGGTGGCTGGTTTTTCTTGAAAGGCACCATTTTTGTTTTGTTTTGAGAAAGTTGGATAGTTTGTTGTGGCCAAAGTGGGGTCTTTCAAGAAAGGTAGAGATTAGCTTTGCTCATTGGTATGTCACAAGGCAAGATTTGAGGATTCAATCATATATAGTCACCTCTCAACTTGTGGTATCTAATTTCTGTTTCAGATTATCAAATTTATGATTAGATTATGGTTACCTTAGTTTGACTCAAATCTTTGAATTACTGTCAATTTTTTATTGGATGGAATTTGAATTTAAAGTATCTAACTAACGGCTCATGGCTCTTAAACCAAATGAAAAATAAATAAAGTAAATAGGATCTAGTGTGTTCAATTTTGGTAGATTTTCATTTTTCATGATAGATTGAACTTAAAACCTAAATCCAAGTTCTGATCACCATTAACTTTGAGAAATCTCCTATTCTAATCTTTAATTATTCTCTTGATTACTATAAAACTGAATCATGCGGAACTATACGTCTTGGTTCTTAAAACATTTGGTGATCTCAAAAACCAACCAAGTGATGGTCACTTAAAAGCAAATATATCATTTGTATGAAAATTAAGCAAGCACTTTTGAAACATGCATATATATGATATATGTCTTCCTTTTTTATATAATTTACTTTTTCTTTGATGCAGTATTTACCATTTTGGAGAGCCTAATATATAACACGAGACGTATTTGTTTTGAATAAATTATATACTTGTGTTAACACATTTTTTTCTTTCTAAAAAGTGAACTTATTTTCTTCAGTTTCAAATCATCCCACACACCATCTAGTTATTATTGAAAGTATACGATTTATTTTTTTCCGGTAACAGAAAGTATACGATTTATATATAACATTGATGTTCTCACAGAAGCTTTTGATCATGTATATCCAATCGGAAGGGGGAAACATAAAAATTGATCCAGTCTGTATATCTATCTTCAACTATGTTCTTGCTATAGTTAGTAAGTAAATATGAACCGCAGAACATCTTTTCTTATAAAGCATAACTTTCAAAATAAGTTAACGTTATAAGTAAATTTCCTATTCAATTTCCATTAATAATCATTTATAATTGTTATCACTAACTTTCCATAAATAGGAAGTAGGAAATAGAAAGTAACAAGTTGAATTTAAGGTATAGGAAGGAAAGGATTAAGTTTAGGGTGACAATGGGGGTAAGTATGAAGGGATGGTAATTTAACCCATCAAATCCAATCCCCGCAAGTAACCGATCCGAATGGTTATGTTTTGGGTATAAAATTGTGGGTACCCATACCCAAAACCGAACCATTTCATCTATGAATAAAAAATATATAAATATTTATTATATGAAAAGGGGTTGTTAATAATCATGCATTATTAAATATGAAATTAATTATTTACTTTTATATCATTAATAATAGAAATTATATGCTTATAATTTTTAAGAGTGTAAATGTTTTCTTAGTAATATAAATTTTTAATATTATTTATTAGATGCATTGTATCAATTGTATAAAATCTACGGGTTCGGGTATGGGGATGGCACATCTGAACCCAATCCGTCCCATTGTCATCCCTAAGTATGGCGATGGAGGATGGGGTCGAATTTGTCATTCCGTTCTCACATTTTTTTTTACTATTTTTTGCCTTGAAAAATGATACAATTTTGCTTTAAATAAAGAATGGACAATTAGCCCAAAGATAAACGATGACATAATGAACGCACAACAATGTTATAACGACAACATGGTAAATAATGATCATCCAACTAATTGTCCATCAAGGATATAGCACATATATTAGTAACAATGATAACTTCAAAGACATGTAGCACATATGATTGTAACAATGATAACTTCAAAGACATGTAATATGTCATTCACTCATTCTAATCAATGATATTCATTTAAAAACTTCAACCGTACGTACCAGACACAAATCTTAACAAAATTGTAAATGAAACAAACCGAAAAGGGTAAAATTAAAGGAGGCACAAACTGCATAAAAACTAAAAACTCACGGCACTAGATTAATTTCTAGTTTTCAACATCATTGCAAAAAACAAGAAGCACTTATCTCAAATTGTATAAGAATAGTTTGCATGTGGTATTCGTTTGTTTTTCTAGTGTTTCTAGTTTTCCTATCAAAGAAATTAGTATGTAAATTCAAAGGTAGTGCCAATCAAAGTTTGAACTTGTGTTATTTAAAAGGAATTTTGCCATGTGAACACAATGTCGATATTTAACTTAAAATGCATATGATACTCCCATATTGCACCACTTTATACTTTTCAAATCCCAAAAACATGCTAGTAAATATGGGTAATGCTAAAGAGACTAAATTTGTAAACAAAACTTTATAAACTAAATGACATAGAAATTGATGATTGAATTATTATTTAAACGTTAATAAACGTGCTCAATTGTATTGGTAACATCATTTAATTTGCAAATTTTATTTACAAATTTAATCTCCATAATATTATCCAATAAACATATATGTTACTACGTTAGGCAAATTTAATAGCGATGAATTTCATGTATATGTCGGTGTTGACGATACTTTAAACGGGTCCCACGTACGTGGGAGTTGATTTGGTAGGCCCTATACGCTAAAGCTGCAAAAGCCAGCCATGCATGGATGCCCAAAAATGAAACAAACAAGCAAAGCATTGGTGACACTGGTTCGTAGCTCAATTTGGTAACTCATAAACAAACCCAATTGGAATTTGAGGGCAAAAATATGGCTTTCAGCTTTTGGCTTATGGCTTTCGGCTTTCGACTTTTGGCTCATGACTTTTGGCTCTCACTTGTCTTCTCAGGAGAGAAAGTAGTGAGTGAGTGAGAGAAAACAGAGCTCATAAGAGTCGGTCTAGGAAGCAAATGAGGAGTGGAGCGAGAATGTGGGCTACAAATTTGAGAAAAATATTAATCATAGTGTTCTAGATTTGCATGGTTTGAATTTCAAAAAAACCATACAAAAAATACAGATTTTTTGGTCATAAATTTGCATATATACTCTCTCTCTCTCTCTCTCTGTCATCTGATCTCTCTCGGACATGTGAGAAAAATCTGAAAACCTCTCAGATTATCTCTCTTCCGCTTCTCTCTCTCTCTCTCTCTCTCTCTCTCTCTCTCTCTCTCTCTCTCTCTCTCTCTCTCTCTCTCTCTCTCCTTTCCCTTTTTAATTTTTGTACTGTTTTTTTTGCTAAAAACTTGGCTAGGCTTTCGGGTTTGTTCCTCCCCAAGCGAGATTTTGGGCAATCTTAAATTCCTCTAAGAGTTTGTTTTCAAATCATGGTTTCTTGAAAATCAAGGATTTGGGTCTCTCTCTCCAATCTTTGTTTCGTTGTTTCCTTAAAATCCCAAAAAAAAATGATAAAAATACCCAAATTTTTATTCAGGGAAGAGAAGAACAAGAGCAAGTACTACAAAAGCCACAAGAACATGTTCCTCCTCCAACTCAAATCACCATCAAGATTTAGATTTTCCCCCATAAATCCCCATTTCAAATCCTGAGTTTCTGAGTGTGATCCAGAAATCCCCTCTTTTTTATTATCAATCTTTTGTTGCTGTAAAAGTAGATGGATTTATTAACATAGCAAAAGAAATGGCTCATGAGGAAGAACAAACCCAAGACACTAGCACTGAAATTATTGGGTTGGGAAGCAATAACATCATCAGTAGTAGATCTTCATCCAAAAAAACAAAGCAGAAAAAAGTGCCACAGAGAGGACTTGGTGTTGCACAGCTTGAGAAAATCAGGCTTGAAGAACAGCAGAAGAAAGCAGCAGCAGCTGCAATTTTGTCCACCACCCCACCATCTTCTCTCTCATTACCAACAAAATCTTCTTCACATTCGTGTACTAGTTCGGTTCCGATCAGGCATTTTTATCAGCCTCCCTCTTCAATCCCATTTCCATCACTGGATCTGCCCTCCCCCAACTCGATTTTCCGTCCGCAGTTGATTCCACCGGCCCACAGCGGCGTTGATGGTAGGAAGCCAATGATCAGCAGTGGAACTTTTCCGTTTGGTGTGGGAAATAATAACAACAACAATAATATTAATGGTGGTGGGAATGGGAATCATGTTCCCAACTTGTGGAATCCATGTGAGTTTAATATTCTTGATCAGAAGGTGAGTTGTAATCCTGGGTTGGATCCTGGATTGGCATTCAGGTCTACTATGAATTTACCTTTTGAGTCCAGCAACAACAACCCCATTTGGCCGCTCTCCAATTTTCCAACAAGAACACAGCAATTTCATCACCAGCAGCCTCCTCCTCCACCGCCACCTCCTCCTCCTCCTTCAATGGTGACACATTCTTTCTACTTTATTTTCTTCGTTGTTTGTTTCAGTTTCCCCTTTCTCTTTGAGTTCTAGAAAAAAATCTAGTTATGTGAAGAAATGTTAGATTCAAGTTAGGCAAGTTAACTTAGGTAGCGTGCCTCTTTGTAGATTAAAGTAGTTTAGAATATCTTTGTATAAAAAAAAAAATAGTTACATGAAGAAATTAATGAACTTTTGATGATCCACTCTTTTTAATTCTATTTGAGAATGAACTGTTGGTGTATGGGAAATATTGCAGGTTAATCTGTCAACAGCAAATTCATCATCTGTACTAAATTTTCAGATAGAGCCCCCTTCAAACCAAAGCTATTACAGCAACTATACTCCTATGTGGCCGGATGAAGAAAAGGTTTGTTCTGTTCACCTCTATATTTAGCCTATATGATTGCCTCTTTTTCCTGAAATATGTATCTAATTTTAGCATCTCAAAACTTAAAATTTCTCAGTACTTATTTTGCAAATTCTTTTTCCTAGTGGGAATTAGTCCAACAAGTGGGATTTCATTAGATTTGGAAATCCTATTTCATATATTGGAATTCAGAAAGAATTTGTATACTTTTATATTTCAGTTTGTTTTATTTTGATGGAATTGAATTTAAATTTGAGTACAATCTGTTTGGTAATTTTGTGAGGCACCTAAGAGATTGGTGTTCCTGCATACCTAGGCGTAGCCAAGTTGACTATAACAATGTGGTCCTCCTTCTGAACCCAAATTGTAATTTTCCTTCTCGTAATTTAGATTAGAATATAATCAATATATAGAATATCACTCAAATAATGCTTCATTTGATTAATTCTTACTATCTGTAATATGTAGTAGATGGTTGGCATGAAGAGGCCATATCCATTTTCTCTAGAGAATCCACCTGTCCCCTCCATCAAGTTCCCTACATTTGTTGCTCCTCCTATAAGAGCCGATGAAGCAACTTCATGTGGGAACAGATCTGCCTTCAATTTTAATCCCGCAATCAAAACAAATTTCAGGTCAGTTTATCTCTAATTATCTTCCATTTATTTACACCAAGCACATTATTTTGCTCACATGGATTTTCTTTCCTTTGCACCATATTCAGAGAAGGACCTTCATGCTCAACTTCAATTTCTGAGTCGAATTCAAGAAGCAGCATCAAAGAAAATGGGAGTGTCAATGGAGATTTTCTCACCCTAGCCCCTCCTTCAACTAGTTGGACATGTCCCAGCCCAAAGCTCAACCTCCCTCCATCTTATCTTGCGTTTCATAACCGTGAAATTCCGGATTTTGAATCATTTCACTATCAAGTGCGATAATCAACACAGCCCACTTCTCATTTCATTAACTTTGTTTAGCAGTTTCATTTCATTAATTATCTAATTTTTTTTCGTTCATTCGTATTGTTATAGGGGAATAATGCAGATGACACAATTTACCAGGCAGGACCAAGTGTTCCAAATCCACAACAAGCTTTCTACAGCTTCTTCCCACTAGCAAAGGCACAAAATGATAGGGCAGCGACCACTGTAAACAACAATTGCAATGGTGAAGTAGGAGAAAGTGTTGATCTCAATTTGAAGTTATAAAATCCGATTTATTTATTAATTAGGCCATTTCTTGTGGATCTTGTTTTCTCTGTAAACCATATTATAAATTTTTTTTTTTTTTTGCATCATTTAAATTTATACTTAGATGGGTCTTTTATTTGCATATGTAAGCTTGAGCCTTGTGAAGGGTGAAGAGTTTGGGAAGTAAAAAATGGACATGGAGATGCAGATTTATCTGTATGAGTGGTTACAATTGTATTCTTATGAAGTCAAAAGTTCCTGTGTGCCTTGGGATTTTGGGATCTTTTGAGTTATGTTTTGAGTTTGTTTTTTGGTTGGTGGATGACCGAGGCACTGCAGTTGCTAACAAACTTTTGCATGTGGATTGTGGAAGATCTGACTGTGCTTTGTCCTATCGTTTTTTATGTGGGGTAGGCACATATGACATCCACTATAATTGCAAGCGTTTGATGTGAGACTCTGGGCCTATGTAGTCTTACATGAAAAATGTTATCATTAGTCGCGCTAGTTAATTCTAGTCGTTAATTTTTGTATATTTCATTCGTGAGCAAACAATTATAATTGGTTCTTCAAAAAAATAATAAGATAAAATTATTCCAACTGTCACAATAACTCTCTTACTAAGTGCTCTCTTGCACTCTTCATACACTTACCGACGACGATTTCGATTGAAGTTTTATCGCCTAATGATTAATTATGGTTTGAACCTCGTCATCAATCTCGTTTTGGTGATTTCTTCTTACTCTGGTTTTTATTTGTCTCAAATCTCAACCATCTTGTTGGATCCACACCACCCACTTTATATACACGACTAAATTTGGTGTTTTAGGTAGGATGGTGACATTGCTATACCAAAAGTATGAGTTCTGATAATCGAGAGGGTTATGAGTTTTAAGATGTATAGTTTAGAGCGCTTTTATTAATAAGTTGCAGAAAGAAAACTCTAGTTTAATTTTGTTGTTAGTTTTGTTGCATCTCTCTAAGAGAGTTTTTAATTTACTTTCACTTTAGTATGGATTTTCAGGTTTAGGTCGTTTTGTCAATCTATATGTGTGACTCAAGAGATGTGATTTTGGCGGGTGAATCAGAGGTTTTCTTGTGTGTTGATTTCAAGACGATCCTCTCTATATATATCATTTCAGCTTTCTGTTTAAACTCGTTATAGAAAAAATATTGAGGTTTGTCACTAGGGAAGGATTTGATTCCATTCTTGCTCATCATATCACTGTCTATTGCAATTAGGATAAGGGAACTTTAACGAAAAGCTCCCAGTACTGTTCACTTTAATGAAAAACCACATTTTTACACTAAAAGTCGATCTTGGTACTATTCACTTTACCATTTATTTTGTCTTTATCGTTACAACTTAAAGTTTTCAAACCCTTTTCATTAGTTTTCCTTTAGGATAACTCCTGTTTGTTTTTAATGTTGTATTACTTGAGCATCATAACTTTTTTAGACTTAAGGTCCATTTGAAACTACTTCTCTATGAATCACTTTTGCTCATAAGAACTTTGGCTATTACTTTTATGTGAAATGTGTTTAATTTTTATTAAAAAAATCCAATTGCTTCTCGAAGAAGAGAGCGGTTCTATGATTCGTTAGCACTTTTAAGTTTTTTCTTTGTCAAACATAGCCAAAAACATTTTTGTTTGTTAGAAAACCAACGTTTAGATTCTGCTAAGAATGATTTGGCTTATTTTCTTGATATTCTTTCTTTTCATGGTTTTTGTCAAATATATTGGAAGCGAATATGTCAATCACTAAGAAGATATTGAAATCACAAACTTCTTAAGAACAAAATTTTTGTTGAAAGCAAAACGTTCATAAGATCAAAACGAGCAATCCACTACAATAATACACGTGAAATTGAAACATGTGCTCAAATCCTCATGCCACAGACACACTGCATAAACTGAAAACACCCTCCTAAGTTCATATGGCCCCTCTAGTCTATGACCAGCCCAAAATATAATCCAGGACATAAATCAGTGCGATGGAGAATGGGTAAAGTAGGAAAGCGATCGAAGATGTCCAAAGAGGGAAGACAGTGCGGAAACTGCAGAAAACCCCCATCACGATGCAAACAATGAGAATAATAAGGACTTCTGCTGAGAAGTCCCACGTTAACTCTCGAAAGTAAACAAGGGCCAAAAACACCGACAGGCACATGACGTTGTTCATGGTCGCTGATCCGTACAACTGCAACAAGAAACAAAAGAGATAAAGAGGTCTTATTTCAGCATCCACTGCAGTTTCCATATGTTACAGTTAAAAACAAAGCATCATAGCAGAATAACTACTTGAGAAAAGAATTTGACATGTAAGTACATTCTGATTTTTGTTCATTTAGAAGCCTATAGTTAAAATTGGACGTTTAGTGAACTTAATAATGATGAAACTGGACTATTAAATTGGAGAACAGTCGAACCTATTATGGATATAGTCTTAGCGGTCCACTTCTAACCACACCGATTATATTGTGCCCCAACTTGCATTCTACTAGCTGCCCAGCATGGCAGGGTCGAGGTTTTGTCGAAAAGGACCTCGGTGTAATAATTAGTAGTGAAACTACTCAATAAAAGTCATGTATATTTTCTGATGTAGAATTCTTCTATTCTTCAATAAGTAATTGACACAAATTTTCGTCATGTGAAGTACTGTCACGTTCACAGAGTGATATAACATAGAGTGCGATTGGATATGTGATATACGAACCTGAGAAAATGTTAAAGAGGCGGTTCTGATCTTTTTGCGGCTAGCAAACATTATTGCAGACACAGCCTCACAAGAAGTAGCCAGAGGTAATGCAATGAATGAGATGAAGAAAGTCGGAATGCCTGTGGCAGTTGAGAAATTATCAACAACGTCAATCAAGGGATCTGCAGCTGCAGCTGCTATAAGAGTTCCTATCAACAACATTAGAACTGCTTTGAAGGATGTCCACTTGGGATTTTCAACACCTTCAATGATCTCATCACTTTGCCCCCCGAGAAGATCGTGCTCTTGCTTAGTTTTCTGCACGTTAGTTTCTGAGTAGTTAGTGTTGAAGTTAGAGCATGCAACTCAAAATCAATTGGAGATATCGAACCTTACCGAGTGAAAGTCAAACAAAAATTTCATCGTGCGATGATCATTGTCATCTCCCGAACGCTTTGCCTCATGAATCCATTTTGAGATACCGAAGAGGAACTCATTCTGATCGATTTGAGAATCGTGAGAAGTGTCAAAATCATTCATCACTTTCTCCACAGCATCATTCTTATCCAACTCTATTTCGTCGAACTTGAGACCTACGATCATTGCTCTTAACTCATTACCTGAAATATGTCCATCCCCGTTCTGATCCATTGCATAAAACAACCTATACACGAAGAGTGTTATAAGGTCAAGAATGGATAATATAAATAATAACGTCATATGAACGAGGTAACTGAATTATAAAAAAATTAAAAAAAGTGCATTCATCCTAGTGAAAAATTTGACAAACAATGCTAACTTTATTATATTTTCTTCATTAGGTTCACCGTCATCCGTAAGGAGACTTCCGAAGCGCATTTTTAGATGTTGTAAGATTCCTGATATAACATGTTTGTGCTTTGCATACGCAATTCGCCTCCGCTGGATCCAAGGCTGAAACACCTGCACCACAATTAAATGTGTTTTGTAAGTTCAGATTAAGCTTGAGTGGACATATCAGACTAGACAATTATGTAATTGATTGCTGCATGAACATCAAATTTACCTGATAAAGGCAGTAAGAAATAAATAGTGCGACAGAGATAACAAGTGCAACCAAAACTGCGATCTGGCTCCCGGATTTTGAATTGAGAACCGCTGGTAATTGAACAATAATGAAAGGGAGGATAGATATAGTCATAATCCTTGCAGCATAGCTTGTCCAGATATCAGTACTCACACCAGAACCTGCAAATACAAAACATCTCCAAATTTATCATTCCTCTAGTGAGAAACACAGTTATTTAAAACATTCAGGCAGCAAATACATAGGTATGTCATGTAAATTGAACGAGTTCTTTCCGATTCCCAGTTCACAAAAGCTATTATGAATTGTGATTAATTATATTAAACTCATGCGCAAATAAACTACTAAGTAGAGGGTCAAGGGTTGAAATAAAGACGGTAAAAACGGGAGTTTTATTCCATTTAACTGTTGAAAAAGGAGATCATGTTAGTCCATATTTTTTGTTTGAATCATGATTTGTGTTCTCTCATTAGCTTTTCAAAACTTAAAGGGTCTCTGAGGAGCGAACAACCATTTCGTAAAGTAACACTCCACTCTGCTGGAGGAGGTCGTGTTCAAATCTCATGGACGAGGACTGAAAAAAAAAAATTAGCTCGGAGGTTAAAATTAGATGGAAGGTTTTCAAATATTGAGCATTGATCCTTTCCTCTTCATGTCTTTTGATGTGTTTCTGAATCCTCGGTATAGGAAATGATTTTACTGTAAGAACTTGGTATCATGTTTGACAAATGTAGACTGCATAGGAAAGAAAAAATGTAAACTGTATAAAGTGGACGAATATACCTGTTAAGCTAAAGCCTTTTGTATCTTTGTTATCGATGGCAACCGAGTTCCGGATATCGCACTTGCCAACGACAACGCAGGAACCCCAGATTAATGTGAGAATCAATACGGTTGAACCAGCTAGCAACCCCATTCCAACTGAGACCTGACTTTGAGCTGTTTCTTTACTCCCAGAAAGTCCGGATACTGCAAATTAAGAAGACTAGTTTAATTCAGAAACAATTTTATCCCAGTCTATCTTCTGACACTAAAATTAACTACGTCTTGTAAACATTTTTTATAAATACTAAGGGGACTCTCTGAAAAAATGACTCTCCGTCATCTCATAATTTAACATCAATTTCCGTACCAGTATTATAAAACACTCTACCGAAAAACACAAGGTAAACATGATGTGGCAGAGGATCCATAAAAAGTCACATTTTTTATAGAGTTCCCTTGGCATTTCTCAATATTTTTTTTTATATTTTGTCATGTTCATTGTTAATTTGGATAATCCAATCAAATTATTCCAAAAACTCCAACATTTTACGGTTATTTACTAATTTTGTGTATCTTGTAAACATTTTTTATATTTTGTCATGTTTGTTATTTTTTTTTTTCAATTGTCATGTTCGTTGTTAATTTAAGTATTTTTGTTCATGGCTTTTATATTATATATTGAAAAAAGTGTTTGATTATAATGTTTCTATGTTGTATACAATCAGTAGGATACTAATATACCACAAAATGTATTATAATTTACATAATTATTTACAAAATATTATTGAATTGCATACAGAAGCAAAAAGATCCATGTAAACACATCCGAAACAAGCAAGATGTAGAAATTTCAAATTACGATCCGAAAATTCCCAAAAAAAAACCACCGATTCCAGAAAAACGAAATTTCTAACTTAAAAAGAAAAGTTTAATTTCAAAACGTTTTAAATAAAATATTGAAAACCTTATTTCTTATCCGATCTGTCTGAAAGTCACCCTATCATTGCCAATAATTTAATAAAAGAAAAAAAAAGATGCGTTTCCCTAATCGTGGGCCACATGTTTGTCCAAAAAGTAACTAACAATTTTCATGCTTCTTCACTTTTTCAACGCTGTCCCCGGCTTTTCTTTCACTTTTTTCCCAGACTTTCCCGCCCAAAATCAAACAGAGAATGCATGAGAGGGTAAGTCAGAGATATTCACCGAGAATGAGAATGGCGTCGGGAAGCGACCCGAGGACGGGGAGAAACAACCCTCCGACGATACCGGGGCCGAGAATCTCGAGCAATAACTCGCTCCCATTCGACAGGTACGTTGCTGCCAAGTACATCAAGTAACCGTACACCAAAATCAGGAACAGGTTCCCTAGCACGCTGTCCGTACAAGGTAAGAACCCGTACGTCTCCTCACACTCCCCCTCTGCCTCCGTCGCGATGTCTCCGGGCCGGTTGAGAGTAAGGTAGGGCACAGTGGAGTTGTTAGACCGGCGGTGTACCCCATCAGACACATTTACATCGTGCGCTGAGGATTGAGGCCTGGAGATGTTGCGGCCTGCGGCCGCTCCGCCGCAGAGGATAAGAAAGAAGAAGAAACGGTGAAATAGCAGCGTGTTGGACATGGTTTTTTCAGGTGGATGTTGAAGTTCTTGTGATTCAAAATTTTTTGGCTCTTCAGATTGCAGTCCCAATTTTATGATAATCTGCATGCCACATAAAGCAGATTTTCAGCAGCAAGTCAACCGAGGTCCTCAGCCAATCGTGTGGCCACGTCAGCAATATTTGTGCCCACATTATCTTAAAAAATGTCAGCATATGAGTGGCCAAACTTGTAATTTATCCCGAATAGTTGGCGATTTTGCCACTCAATACTACGATCTGATGATATTCCTCTTCACTTAGATATGAGAGGTCTTAGGTTCAAATCTCGTGGATAGCGAATTTGATACCAAATTAGGCTGCCCATTATGTGGCTTAGCCTAACTCCCCCTCCCCTACCCTTAGTGTAAAAATATCGATGTACGAAAAAAAAAAAAAGTTTAACTTCCGACACTTCCAGTTTGAGTATTTTAATGTCAAAAGATAAACTGGGATAAAACCCCTAACCGTAATCGAAGCAAAAAATGTTTAGGTCAATCAAGATAGCAAGTGACCATTGACCACAGTGGTGGAAATGTGTTGAGTTCTTGCATAATAACGTAGGTTCAAACTCATTCGATGACTAATCTAACAAAATCTATTGTTTGACCAAAAAAAAAAATCAAGACAACAAATTTCAGAAGGTATAACTCGAGATGTTAAAATTGCAATAACATATCAGGGTCTTGCTTATACGGAGAAAATTGTCTGATAATACAAGTGCCCCTACAAATTTCAAGTTCTGACGAAAATGAAACAGGCATACTCACAAGAACAGTATCAAAGATCATGGAAACCATAAGAAAATTGAAAACTGAAAAAACATGTCGATTTATATAAGCCGAAGAGCACTCAAATGGATTCGTATGACCTCATGTGTCTATGACCAGCCAAAAACATAGTCCAGGACATAAACCAGCGCCAGGGAGAATGGATAGAGTAGGTAAGCAATTGAACACGTCCAAAGAGGGAAGACGGTGCGGAGACTGCCTAGAAGACCCATCACAACGCAAACGATGAGAATCACCAGGACTTCCGATGAGAAATCCCACGTTAATCCTCTGGCGTAAACCAGGGCCAAAAATACCGCTAGGCAGAGGAGGTTATTCATGGTTACTGCACCATATAACTGCAACAAGAAACACCGATAAAGAGGTCATATTTCAACAATCGGTTCATTTGCTAAATATTACAGTTGACAACGGCATGATAGCAACAAAATCATATTGTGCATTACTTTTCACGTTCACGAATTGGACTCAAATTATGCAGTACTTTCATATATTCATTTTTTTTTCTTTTTCTGTTCTTTTGGTTAGATGCAGCACCGTCAAATAGTACCTTCAGTATAATAGTTATCAAAATAAATCTACCATGCAAATTATACCAGTGCTCTCGAGCACCCATCAATTAATATAGCATCCCGGCTTCAGTCAAATAATCAAAATAAAACTTTCTTGTAACATGAGCGCGTTATGTCAATCAACTAGTACGATGGAGGGTGAAATCACAGATTCAAATCCCTACTTGGTGTGTGGAAAAATGATACATTACTATATACGACACAATTCAAATCCCTACTTGGGGTGTGTGGAAAAGGGAAAGAAAAGGCAAAATTAAATATCATTCCCCCATCAACATAGTTAAATCATGACAAACAGAAGATTGTTAATTGGCTAATTGTGCCGGATACCCTAAACAATGTTGGAATTGGTCAATAATATTTTAACAGGATTCAGTTGGACACTTTAGAAAACATTTTGATCTAAGTGGAAGTTTAAAACTTGAAGCTGTAAGTTTATGGCAAACTTGTAAAAGCTCCGACTGAGAAATTATACAACTGTTGGAGATGTGAAATATTGACAGGCTTGCAGATTGGTAAAACATCAAGATATGGGATATGTGAGATACAAACCTCGGAAAATGTTAACGAGGCGGTCCTTATTTTTTTGCGGCTGGCAAAGATAATCGCTGATACAGCCTCACTAGAATTAGTAGCCAGAGGTAGAGCAATGAATGAGATGAAGAAAGTTGGAATGCTTGTGGCATCGGAGAAATTATCAACAGCATCTACCAAGGGATCTGCAAATGCAGCTGCAATAAGAGTTCCTACCAACAACATTAATCCTGCTTTGATAGAGGTCCACTTCACATTCTCAACACCCTCAACAACCTCATCACTTTGGTCATCCGCCCTCAAAAGAGCGTGCTCTTCTTTTGTCCGCTGTACTCGACAAAGCATAAAAAGATTAGCATAGAAAAGTCGTATCAAATAAGCAAACCTTAAATCTATTTTCATAAGCAAACATTACCTTGTGAAAGTCTGTTAAAATCTTCATTGTACGATTACTGGGGTCAGTATTGATATCTCCTTGACGCTTTGCCTCATTGAGCCATTTTGAGATGCCAATGAAGAACTCAGGCTTACTGATACGGGAATCATGAGAAGTGTCAAAATCACTCATCACTTTCTCTACAGCTTCATTGTTATCCAACTGTATTTCATCAAACCGGATTCCTACAATCAGTGCTCTTAATTCAGAAGCTGAAAGAAACCCATCATTATCCCCGTCAATTGTACAAAACAATCTGACACATATACAATCAGAAAACGAGTTAGAACGAATTCCAACAATAAAATAAAAACAATGCAACAATCTCTCAGAACAAAGACACACAAAGCAGAGACATGACTAACTACTCCATTGGTAATACTACTATAAAATACTAACTTCCCGATAATGTCTGCATCAGGTTCACCCTCATCATTAAGAAGCTTTCCCAATGCACGCTTCTTCAGATGTTGTAAGAGTCCTGATATTACATGCTTGTGCTTTGCATAAGCAATTTTTCTCCTCTGGATCCAAGGCTGAAACACCTGCAACAACAATTAAATATAAGTCAATCGCAGTGAAAATAAGCGTGAAGATCCAATTTGTAAACTAGGAAAAAGAAAATGGAAACAGTTTATGTTACCTACGGAACTAGCATGACAGAATCGCAATGGGTATCCAAACCTTTGGTATAAAAGAACTTACAGAATATTAACGCGCTTAAAAGTACTCAGACCTTTTAATAATGAAACCTATAAAGCATAGGCGGTTGCTCACCCTTGATTAATAATAGGGCTGTCCAAGCTATCCTGAATTTGCATTAGTAATTGGAGTTCATAGTTTAAAAATTAACAAGCGACAGTTCCACCAATCTAGTGATATGGAATCCTTATAAGAAACCAAGATAAATTCTGTGATCTTAGTTTATAATACCTATTAAAGATATGAAACAACCCAAACACCCCCTCTTTCACTAAAGGAGTGACCAATTGTTATGTCATCTTCAATTATTTTTCCTTTTTCTTACAGGTTGACAAAGTTAGCTTTACTAGGCATAAGTACCAGCAATCAATCTTCACATGAAAATGCAAATTACATAGATGGAAGAAAAGCAGACAAATTTGTTTGCCATAAATTACAAATAAGCTTTATAAATTAAACAGAAAAAAGAAAAAAAAAAAGAAGAAAGATTGGTTACACTACACAGTGTATGTAATTGCTGACTTGCTGCATCAAATTATAATTACCTGATAAAGGCAATAAGAAAGCAATAGTGCTACCGAGACAATGAGTGAGATCAAAACTGCTAGGTGTCTACCCGAGGTGGAATTGAGGAGCTGCGGTAATTGCACAATAAGAAATGGGATGACAGATACAATCATAATCGTTGCAGCATAGCTTGTCCAGATATCAGTACTGACACCAGAACCTGCAATTACCAACAGTTCTGCTTTAGTTCATATCTACTTATATATCAGACATTCAAAATTTATGATTCCTGAAGTGGCAAACACAATAATTTAAAAGATTCAGTCAACAAGGCATATAAAACTGGGTTTTTTAAGATGAACAAGAAGGTCAAGTAGTCCAGTTTTCTTGTTGAAACATTCACAACTTGCTCTCTCTTGTTCATATACAAAACTGGAGATTAGGAAATAAATATACAACTAGTTCAACAAAGCATCTTTCCCACTACATGTCATCAGGAATACAAATTTTGTCTTAATTTCATTTTTCAATCTTTGTTTAGAATTTCATCACTTATGAAATTTTAACTGGTCAACACATGCATTGACTAAAGATGAAGATGCCACATCATGACTAGAGTTGGTTATTAGTTGTTATAAGTTTGTTACAAATGTAATTAGTTTGTTACACTATGTAATTAGTCTTAGATAGTTAACTGTCAATAGCCAAAAGGCTATATATATATATGTGATTGTATTATTCATTAATGTTTAATGAGAAAATACATCTTTCTTCTTCTCTAAGAAAACCTCTCTCAAGAACTCTGAGTTTCTGTATAGTATCCTTCGCCTTTTGCCTCATGGCCGATTCGATCCTCACTTCCGCTTCGTCTCTCTGATTCTCGACGATCTGTTCTTGTAATTCTTGCCTCTGACTGCCATGGCTTCTCTGTCTGATGCTTCTTCTCATAATGCATCTCTTCAAAATTCGGCCTCAAATCCCTCGACAAACCCTAATTTATCGAATTCGTATGCTTCTCTCACAATTCAAAAAATTGGAAGCATGGTTCCAATTAAGCTCAAGAGATCTAACTACCTTCCATGGCATGCTCTGTTTGCACCAAACTTCTCATAGTTGTTAACGGTTCTGAGCCGTGTCCACCGCCATTCCTTCCAGATCGCTCTATTAATCCAACTTTTGAGATCTGGTATGGAAAGGATCAAAATCTTCTGATTTGGCTCAATTCTACACTCTTGAAAAATGTCATTCCTTTCACTGTTTGTGTCTTCCTCTCGAGATCTCTTAATCAAGCTTGAGCAGCATTTTGGTGGAGTCTTCAATGCCCACATCCATCAACTTCGGTCTCGTCTTTAAGCAATTCGAAAAGGTACTCAATCTATGGCGGATTATCTTCAACAACTCAAAGAAATCTCTGATTCTCTCTCTACTGTTGGTGCACCTATCTCTAATCGAGATTTAATGGCGGCTACTCTTGCTGGATTAACTGATGAATTCGAATCATTTATTGATTT